CAAAAAAAAAAAAAAAATTATTTTTATATTAAAAAGGGTAAAACTGTCTTTTTGGGGGCGGTAATAATTAAAAAGGGGGGCGGTATTTAACAACACCCAAATTTAACGGTATTGAGACCAAAATTGACCAGCAGACGAAATGTTGGTAGCAAAATTAATTTAATTACCAATTAGCATTAAAAAAGTAAGAAAGCCGTTTTCCAAAACCCTAATCCACTTCTATGACTCTCCCACACAGTCGGACATTTTTTGAGTGACGTTAAGCTTTACTGTATTCTGATATCCAATTGAACCATGGCGGAGGCTACGGATGATTCCCGGGACATCGAGAAGCTGTACGAGTACGGAGAAAAGCTCAACGAAGCCATAGATAAATCCCAGGTCGATCGATTATTTCACGGGATTTTCCGAGGTTCATTTAAGCTATTTGTCCCCTCTTTAGTTTGTTATTTTCCTAAATTCATCGTCTTCTGTGTGTTTGATTTTGAGGAGCAGGGTCGGAAGGATTACGAGGGGATAATCGCTGCGGCAAATGGCAGCGTGAAAGCAAAGCAGTTGGCAGCACAGATGATACCAAAGTTTTTCAAGCATTTCCCTGAGCTTTCTGAGCAAGCCTTAGACCAGCATATCTGTTTGTGCGAGGATGAGGAGCTTGGGGTGAGTGATTTATGGTCGCCTTGAAGCATTTGGTTAGGCGTTTGTTCATTACTTTACCTTCGGGGCGATTTAGAAGAAAAACTATTTTCTTGCTGAATTCAGATGGCTAACTTTTTGTATTAGATTGAAAGGTTAATGTGGGTATCATCATTAAGGTGAACTACGCATGGCTGGATTAGCTCACTGAACTGAACTCTCTTTCCCTACTCCTTTTAAGTGATTAGTGGATATGATGTGTTTACAGGCATGGCTGGCTTGCTAAACGTGCATAACTATAGGCTCCTCTTGATATTCTTCTGGGATAATTGGATTACAATTTACAGGAACCATATTGTCATACTCCACACAATAATCTTCTGATTTTTCTTATGTATTGTATGTTATGTATGCCCAGCACAGAGTAAAGAGCCTAGCATGCTTAAATTGTCACTGTGACCAAATTTCTGCTTTATTGGTTGAGAGAAAACAATAAGAGTATATGCTTAGTTTTTGTTGATATTACTTATTCTCACGGCATCCCATGTATATTGTGTGTAGTCACACACTCACATGTCTAAAAGATTTTGTTGGTTGTTTGTTCTTTGTTGATTGCTATAGGTCCGCGTACAAGCTATTCGCGGGCTTCCTCTATTCTGCAAAGATACACCTGAACATCTGGCAAAAATTGTTGACATCCTCGGTCAACTCCTAATTGCTGGTACTTTAATGTTTGAAATCTCTATTGGGTTCTTAATAGGTTATTAACCTTTTTTTTTCACTAATTATTATTGTTGTGGTCATGATTAGGAGATATTGTAGAGCGTGATGCAGTGCATAAAGCCCTTATGACTTTGTTGCGGCAGGATGTCAAGAGTAAGTTCCGACTACAAGTATACTTTGGAAATATTATCATTTCTATTTCTGTCATTGCATTTTAGCTAGTTGCTGAAACTGTCGAAACGTTCCAACAGCACGGTTAAAAACTTAGTTTTCTTAGAAGTGGGAAGCCTGAAGATATTTTTGCATAAGACTCTTGGTCTGAACATATTTATTAAAATTTTAAATCCTTACACAGTCAATTCAGCTTTGGTCATAATCAGCAATAATGGTGTTTATGATCGTTAGAATGTTAAGTGTAGAGTACTAATCCATGTCAAAAAAAGATTATGGAAATTTATTTTGTACCTTCAGATTTGGTGCTACATTCTGGCAATTTGTTGTTTGTGCTTTTTGTAATAGAGAAGACCAATGGGTATTGCAGAATTATTCTCTGTTTGAAGTGATTCTAACCAAGACACATACTTTCTGTGCCCTTTGTCTTACACTGGCTGGCACCCTCTGGATTTGCCACATTTGTTTCTGCCTGGTACACCTCAACATTTCGAGCACAACTCACAACATTTGTGCCGAACGTGGGTCTACGTCATTACCCTAGTTAATGACAATCCTTTTTGTGCTATGATACTGAGAAAATCCTTTAAGTGAGAGCAGACTCTGTAAGGAAGCAGTTCCTGGGTTGCATATCATCACCAGCATATCATCTTGGTGCATAGGTCATCATCAGTTGGCATCTTGATTGGTGACTTATAAATTCGTCCTTGTGATCATCCTGGCAGATAGACTGTCTGGTGGCTTGTTAAGTGTTACTATGTGCCTTGTGGTTCTTCCTAGGGTTGCTTATCAGTGGTATCATGTTCTTTGCAAGTTAGGATTATTGTTATTTAGAGCTTCTTAGATTTGTGATTTTTTGGATAAGGTTATATTATAAATATGAATTTCTTCATGGAAGAGGAAAGGTGTCATTGGTTTCTTTTTGCATTGCTCGTTACCGAAACTTCTATATTTGTATCATTTGTCATCCATGGTCTCCACTTACTCAACTAAGAAGGATAGGAATTTCTTACAGGGTTGGTGCACAAGTAAATCAAAAAAAAAAAGCAAGATTTGGTATCACGTAGTACTGATTATTTTTAATAGGATTAGTCCACACTGATGTATGGTAATATCTATCAAAGGTTTCTGGAATTGGTTACTTGTACGGTGCAGGGGTTTTCATTTCTGGCAAACTATGAGCTTCTCTGCTATACTCGTTAAGGGGATATAGTTTGTTGAATGGTGGGGCATGCCACTGGAAAGTGAAAAGCCCTGGAGGAAGTTGAGCAGAAGTACATCTGGCATATTGGTCATGAGTGTAAGATATAATCCTGCAGTTTCCTTGTTAGTGAAGTGCAACTTCCTTGCACTTTCATTACACTTTCATTGCATTTTATTTGTAGCTTCCTTGCAGCTGCAAAGGACCTTCATAGCAGCCCCTTTAGGCTGAATTTTCAGCTTTAGTAATTTCTAGGAAAGTGTTGAATAGTAGCTTTTAGTTCCTATAAATAGGGATGTAGTTTTTCATTTGTAAAAAATATACACAGAAAAGCTTAATACTCAATACATTGAGTTGTTCACAATCTTCTTCTTTCATCCTAAAAGTGTTCGTTTGTACCGGAAGCATTTTTTGCTTACCTGAGCAGTGAACGAGCAGGGACTAACAATGAGGTGGCAGGTGGTAGGAGAATCTTTATAATCCTAACTTCGTGGGCGATGAACTGTTGAGAAGTGGATCCTTTTAACTGTTTCTTTGCTGGAAAATATGGGTCATCTTTGTCATAATGCATGCAATGCAGTCTTTGGGAGTCCTGATGTGAGACATCGGATAGGAATGACAATGAAGAGGAGTTTTCTCAAATTTAGTTGAGTGCCATTGTATGCTATGATCTGGTTGTTGGTAAACATGTGTTCCATGGACCTGGACTTAAGCTGAAGATAAAAATTTGTGTTTATTCTAATATTCCCCTTCTAGCTATGGATTCCTGGACTTTTCTGTTGAAAACTTGTGTGGAATTTATTTAATATGCAGTACATCACGCCTCATGATCTTTCTAACATCTGGGATAGCTGAAAACTCTATACTGGTGGAGAGGAGAGGAGAGAATCTGCCAGTTGTCTTTATTCTATCTGAAGCACAATCTGACTTATTTTTGTACTCGTCTGTTGGCGTAAGGTCATAGTAAGAGCTTTGTCATTAATACCTTTTCAACACGTCTGTGTTATGGATATCGGGAAATCCCACCATCATTCACATAGGGCTGATGCTTGAACTGCCTGGTTAGAATTTATTTGTGCATTTTACAATGTGGGTTGTATTAATAGTATGTAAGCTTAAGTTATTGTCTGTGTATATTGCAGCTTCATTAACAGCTTTATTTAAGCACATTGGCAGCACTGATGATCGAAATGCAGAGGATCTCAGTGCTTGGGAGGGCATTCGGGAAAGAGTTCTGTGTTTTATTAGAGATAAGGTAAACGATTTGCTGATATATGAGAATGAATTTTGTTCTGAGAAAAAAAATATTGTTGGAAACCATGAAGACTCCATATTTCAGGTGTTTCCTCTTAAAGCTGAGCTGTTGAAGCCGAAAGATGAAATGGAGCGGCATATCACTAATTTGGTGAAACAGGTGGTGCATTTTAGCTGATTTCAGTCTTTTTCTGTTATCTTATATTCTCTCGAAACCATATCCTTTCTAGACGGCTTTCTTCTCCTCGCCAAGATTAATGATGTCTATTGCCACTTAATTGATCTATTATCGTTTTGCCTATATGTTTCTTTTCCAGAACTTGCAAGATGTGACAGCTGCAGAGTTTAAATTGTTCATGGACTTCTTAAAAAACTTGGGCTTATTTGGGCAGAATGCTCCTGTTGAACGAGTTCAAGAGCTTGTTGAGATTATTGAAGGCCAGGCTGATCTGGACGCTCAATTTAATGTATGTTAATCATTGGCAAGTGGGATTTATCGGATTTTCTTTGGTTGCATGGTTGTTATCTCTCTTTTGTGGTCTTCAGTTAAGGGCAAGTCTGTTTAACCTTATTGATAGTGTTTTTTTCTTTGACTTTTTTTTTTTTTTTTTTTTT